TGCTCTCAAGTTTAGCGACTTGCTCTTTTAAAGCTTTGCAAGACCCACATTCACTTGATGAGCTTTCTGGTTTGTCAGCGCTTCTTTTTCCAAAAAATTTGTTTTCTTGTTTAAGTATTTCATTTTCTTTTTCCAATTTTTCAAAATCGTTTTCAAGTAAAGAAAGTCGTTTCTTCAAAGATTTATTTGTTTTGGAAGCACTAACAAATTCCTCATAAAGTTCATGAAGTGCTTCTTGCATTTCTTCAAAAGTATAAGAGTCGGAAGAAATGTTACATACCTCTTGGACGTCGTCGCTTTGATCTTCGTGCGCCATGAGGCAGAGATTTGCAGCTTTGTCCTCCTCTTGGTCGGTTGATTCGTCGCCGGAATCGCCACCCCAAGAGATGTAGGCCCTTTGCTTCTTGAATCCAGGCTTGTCCTTGCCGTGTTTGGCCTTTGGACACCTTGGCTTGATGTGGCCAATCTCGCCACAGCCGTAGCACTTGGGAGGACCGTCGTGCTTCCTTCCCTTCCGCTCAAATTCCTTCTTCATGAACTTGTGGAACTTTTTGATGACGAGCCCGAGTTCATTGTTGTCATCGCTTGAAGCCTCTTCCACCGGTTCCTTGGTGGCTTTGAGAGCTATCCCCTTTTTCTTTTGTTCATCTAAAGACGGGGTTAGAATAGTAGATTCATAGGTTTTAAGGTTACCTCTTAGCCCGTCGATGGTGACGTTGGAGACTCCGATGGATTCGTAGATTGCATCGGCTTTTGACCTCCATTCGGGTGTGAGACTCCGCAGGATTTTCCTCACAAGATCCTTGTTGGTGTAAGTTTTTTTGAGAGCATGAAGATCGTTGATGATCTTTGAGAACCAGTCGAACATGTCATCGATTTTCTCACCTTCTTTCATTCGGAACATTTCGTACTCTTGGGTGAGAAAATCGATCTTGGCTTCACGAACTTGATTGGTACCTTCGTACGTCACTTTAAGCTTGTCCCACATCTCCTTGGCGGTTGTACAGCAGGAGATCTTTCGGTAGTCATCGGGGTTGACCGCGCAATATAGCATGTTGATGGCCTTTGCATAGTTTTCAATCTTCTTGATATCCTCGGCATCGAATTCATTTTCGGTCTTTGGGACCGTGGTTTCTCCCACTTTCTTCATAGGGATTTCTTCGCCATTTTTGATCACCAACCACAATTGGAAGTTGGTGGAACGAATATAGATTCTCATCCGTTCCTTCCAATAAGAGTAGTTGGTGCCATCAAAAAGTGGTGGCCTAGAGGTTGATTGACCTTCTCCAATTCCTGCATAGAGATTTCTAGAAGAAGAGCACATGATCGCTTTACTCTCAAACGGTTAAGTTTGGACGTGAGTTAGGCTCCGATACCAATTGTTAGAATAATAGACCAACGCTAGAGGGGGGGTGAATAGCGTTTGATCAAGAAATCGCAGGAATAAAAATGAATAAACGAGAAGTAAAGAGAAAAGAAAGAGGCACACCGATTTTACCCTGGTTCACCACAACTTGTGGCTAATCCAGCCTCCCGAGAGACTCTCTCGAGCTACACTACTATCTCGTTAAGCTTAACGGTGCTTAACAAACCCGTACAACTTGAGAATTCGAGTCACACGAACCTCAACGAACCTTCGAAGGAAACAGCCCTTCCTTCGAACAACAAGAGAAATA